TGGAATCTGGCTATAAAATACTCAGCTTAGACCTTGGCACTGTCTCTCCATCAGTGTCCCACCCAGACTCAGCTTTTTTCTTTTGTCTGTCTTTTCTAAGTCCTTCACAGCCCCCTGTCAGGTTCACCCATGGCTGTGCCGGCTTGGCACATAATTGAACTAAATTGGTGTCTATACGGAGAATGGAATGGGATCTATTCAATGGATTAAAAAAATAATAATAAAGCATTTTGATACAGGAAAATAAGACACTTGATTATTCAAGTTAAATTGGGGGGATTGAACATGAATACGTTTAATTAATCATTACAAGTAACTTAACACAAAGCATTTGGGTTCTTCTTGGCTAATGAAAATAAATTGAGTGGCCTGAGTACTGCTTATACTTCCTGAACGTCTTGATTTTAAGTATTCTTGTCAGATCATATTTCTCAATTTTACTTTAATCATTTAAGGCTGCTCAAGAGAAATTGTTTACTTAGACCAATGATAAAAAAAAGGGGGGGGGAGGGGAGAGGATAGTAGAGGACTGGATGAAAGAAGGTGAAGGAGCCAAGTAACATATATGCATAGCCCATTGACATAGACAGCAGTGTGGTCATGGCCAGAGGGAAGGGGAGGGTAGCAGGAGGTGGGCAAAGAAGGGGGAAATTGGGACATCTGTAATGGTATCAACAATAAGAAATAAAGTAAAATAAAAAGAAGAAAACAAGTATGAGCTCAAGAGATATTTAGATTAGATGTGCACACATATTTTTAACATGTATCAAACATTAGGATGAAAAGTTATGGTCTTCATTTGAGGAACTTAGGAGACATTAAAAGACATGAAAAAGAGTGCCCTGATCCAAAAAGGCAGGATAACAAAGAATCACAGTGACAATGAATGTCAGAATAGGGACAATATTATCTCATGAACAATATTTTATAAAACATTATAAAATACTGGTCTCATTTTACAGATATGTAAACTGCAATCCAAAAAGATGAAATAATATGTCAAAGTCATTCTCTAAACTGTGGAATCCTGGAACTCAAATACAGAACTTTAGAGTCATAGATATTGAGTAGGAAATAAGTTGAAAAAGAAAAATTTTAAAACATTAAATTTGACATGTAGTTCATCTGAGTGCTTTGATTTAATCTCACCTAGAAGTATGGTCCTACCTGATAGATTAGTCCCTGAACAAGAAAATCTTCCATGTCCTCAGGTAGAAAAGGCTAAGGCCCATGAAACAGAAGGCAACATTAGACTCTTTCACGTGCCAAAGAAAAATCTGCTAAAGGAAGTCAGAGAAGAAAGAAGTTGGTGTGGTTTAAAGTAGTTTATAAGTAGTCCAACTAGCCTGGATCAGTGTTGGGCATTGACCTATGAACTAGGAGGTCAAGGTTTGATTCCCAGTTGGGGCACATGCTAGAGGCAGCTGATTGATGATTCTCTCTCCTCATTGATGCCTCTATCTCTCTTTTTCTCTCCCTTCCTCTCTGAAGTCAATAAAAATACATTAAAAAAAATAAAATAGTTTAGGAATAACAAATTGGGCCCACTCTTCAATGCTGAATGGAGAGAAACAAGGGTGGCCATTGTTGGAGGGAAATGGGGGGAATAGCAAAGATAAAGGAGGAACAGTGGGAGTCAGCCTACCATGTCTGAGTTTGGGGAGAAGCTTGGTTAAAACGGAAAAATTGGAATTAAAGGAGGCCAAAAACACCTCATGGAATCCTCTTACAGTTTTGTAATTCAGTCATCCTTTTGCCCTAATTATCTTTAGAAGGAAGCCAGAAAAAGAAAAACAGAAAAAAAAAAAAAGCATATCTTTTATCCAATAACAACCAGTAACCTCGAAAGAAGTGATTTTTGAAAGGGTTCAAGTAAGACAGCCAACAATTAAACTGTCTTCGGATAGGAGGAAGTGTCATGCACCAGAGAATTTCCAAGGGAGTTTCACTTCTCACCTATGAGAACTCACTTCCTTCCTGTGACACATCTATAAATAATTGGAAGCCTCTTCGCTTTGAAACAGACACCTAGGAGACCAGAAGCAACAGCTGTTTCCGAGTTCAGTAAGAAAACCTTCCCTCTATTAACACCATCTAACCAGCCTAGTTCTACCAGTCATCTACCTCCATGTGTTCAAGGTCACATCGAAAGGAGCCCTTTCCATTAGGACAAAATATATCCTAGAGGGTGAGAATTTCCATGTTTATCTTTATAATTCAGTACCTAGCACAATATTCAAGACAGTACATATATGCTCAATAAATACTTGTTGGGTTGTTTAATTTACCACATATTTACTATACACCTACGAAGTTCAAGGCAAACTAACATCATTCTTTATTTAAAATGAGTTAATCACTCGTCTCATTATAGTTAGGTGTATGAATTAGGCTTTGTTTTATTTAAATGTCAAAACAAGTTTCTGGGATACATTTAAGAGTCCCATGCCTTTACTGACTGAGCTAGCTGTGCACACCTCTTGGATACGCTTAATTTTCATCATTTTGTGGCTGAGAAAACAAAACTCAGAGAGGTGAGTGCACTTGCATAAGGGCCAATAGATGGAGGGTGACTAACTGATCCGGTTTACCTGTGACTTTTACAGTTTTAACACTGAAGTCTTGGGTTCTCGGCAACTCTCTAGGTTCTGGGCAAACTGGAACAACCTTCATTGATGGGAACTTGTAGAGAAGGAAATGAACCCAGTTCTCTTGTCTCCAAACCCAAAGTTCTTTCAGATTTTTTTGGGTCCAGTTTGTTTGTTTCTTTTTCCTACATTTGGCAATATCTCTGGTGGACATGGATATAAAATATACCTGGCAGGTTGCCTGGCGCATAGGAAAAATTCAATAAGTGGTCATGATGATTCGTGTGTGCCCAGCATTTTGGAGCCTAAGGCAAGAGGAAAGCTGTACGCCCCATTACATATGTTTTTATGTGTTTTATGTATGTTATTTCTCCAAAATATTAAACTAGTTGAAAAGTATTGAAAATTTTAAAAGTATTAATAGCTATATTACAACTCACAACATTATTGTAAATTTAAATATTTATTTATGCCCCATACATAATTTATTATAATTTTACTTTCTTGGTGAAGACTCATCACCTGTGTTGATGTGTACTTCTGGGGGGAAATTAATCACTTAAAGATACATAAAAACAAATAGTGTAGTCTGGCTGGTGTGGTTCAGTGGTTGAGCATCAATCTATGATGAACCAGAAGACCATAGTTTGATTCCCTGTCAGGGCACATGGCCGGTTGCAGGCTCAATCTCCAGTAGGGGGCATGCAGGAGGCAGCTGATCAATGATTCTTTCTCATCGATGTTTCTATCTCTCTCTCTCCCTATCCCTTCCTCTCTGAAATCAATAAAAAATGTATTTAAAAAATCATATAGTGTATGGCACTGTTCAGATTCTGTCTTTATTTAAAATAGTGGTATTTTGCTTATCATAGACTTTTCATTAATTTTGATATTAATATAAATTAAGTGTATTTATAAATACATTTAATTTATAAATATATTATTAAATATATATTGATTAAAAGATTACAATTATTATCCTATATAATAAAAGCATAATATGCAAATCGACTGAATGGCTAAACAGCAGAACAACCATCTGGACAACCATTCAGACCATGCTATGATTCCCACTGCTCGCACCATGTCAGCCAAGGCAGGTTCAATGTGATTGGTTGGGGGCCCGGTTATTGCCCCATGATCACCCTGCAGAGGGAGGCCCAGGCCGGCGGATTGCGGTGGGTGAGTGGAGTCTCCCTCTATGAAGAAAGCCCAGGTTTCAGGTACCAGAGGGAAGCTGGTACCGGGAGTCAGGAGAAGGAAGGCCTACTCTTGCACAAATTTCATGCATTGGGCCTATAGTTATTTATATAATATGAAATATAACGATTAAAAGATTACTTATTTAAATCTCAAAATAGATATTATTATTGATATTTCTGAGACCTTTGGTGCTCCCTAAAATTTTGTGCCTGAAGTAAGTGCTTCTTCCCTCTAATCCCAGCCCCTTATTATTTCATCGTAAAACTCAGCAAACATTACAAAGTGCTGCATTACAGAGCAAGGCTCTCCCCAAGAAGAAATCAGTTTTCTTTTGCCTTTTTCCTCTGTGTTTGAGATCATACTTGATCTTCACCAGGAGTTAAAGGGCCAGCAAAGAGTGTGCTCTTGGATTCATGCCAGTTGTGCCTGACTGAAGTCTTCCTTCAGAGAACTCTGGGGAGTCAACAGCTCAGGAGGGTGGAGAAGTGTTAGGTGGACTTGGGATGATTGCCTATCAGATCTTGCCATTCCCTGGCAATAGAATTATTATGAAGTCATTGACTTTCTCTTTGCCTTGGGGCGGAAATAAATCTGCTATCCCCAAATAATCAATCTGATCTCAGACAAATGCCAAACAGAACTAAGATTCTCTGCCCTGAGGTGGCCATAAAATCAAGACAATTTTTCTCAAAGTGTGTTTGGTGTCTCAGCAACAGCTTCTGTGAGTTCTGTTTTTCCCCAGTTTCCCTGCGGGTTTAGGGTGAGCTATAACTGGCATGCTGGAAGGGAAGATGATATACGTCAACTCACCCAAACAAGTTTTGACATTTCCCCTGAGATGTCATCCTCTATCTACTCACTACACGTGCCTGCTGCTCCAGGCCTTACTGCTGGGCAATGATGATGGGGCTGGGATGGGGACAGAATAAAAGATCTGGGACCTGTAGCAGGAACTCACACTCAGACCTTGAACAAGCACCTGGAAGCTACTCTTTGAGGCGGCTCAGCAGTTTTCCTTAGTAAGTTAGATGAATGCATCCGACTGTCAGAAATCAGATAAAGCTATGAGGTTTTGCCCCCAAGAGACATCTGGAGGAGGCACGTTTCTGGTGACTAGACTGGCTTCTTAAAGCATGAGATGGGAAATCAGTAAGTCATGCTCTTTCCTTTGAATTCCTAGCTCCTGTGGTTTCCAGATTCTGGCACAAGATGAAAAGTTCTTGTCTCCCCCTCTGCCTTTCCTTGGCTGTGTTTTCTCTCTTCTGGACACCTTCTGCTGGGCTGAAGACACTCAGTTTGGGAAGCTGTGTGATCACCACAAACCTTGAAGAAATGCAAAATGAATTTTCTCAGATAAGGGAGAGAATGGTATGTGAGGGAGGCACCCTCCCAATTTGTGGCTGCGTCTCCCCTTCTCTACTTGTCTTTCTCTGTCCCCTCATAGTGTGACCATAAAAAGGGACAGCTTGGGGACTTCTTACCAAGAGGATGCATTCCCAGGAGACATCTGTAGCTCATAATTTATTTATTTATTTATTTATTTTTTTAATCAATCTTTATTGTTCATATTATTACAAAGGTTCCTCATTTCTTCCCCCCTCCACCAGGTTCCCACCCCACCCTCCGCCCCCTCCCCATCCCCCATTGTCCTCATCCATAGGTGCAGTTTATGTTCAGTCTCTTCTTCCCTCCCTTTCCCCAATAGTAAATCCCTTTTCAGATAGTAAATCAGTTACTTAGCATTTTCTCAAATCAATAATACCTCCACATGCCCAATGATACACTTCACACAAAAGACATTTCCCAATAGGTCCACCAGCCTCATCCAGGCCCCACCCAAGGCACTCACAGATCAACACCCCTGCCCTATACTAACTCAACACATCCAGATCTAAGCCTTCATCACTTGATTCAGCAGACCCTCAAGTTCCCACGAAAGTTTCCAGCCATGTCTGAGAAGCAGCCGTGGGGCAGGGGCAGGCGAGGAGCGAACTGTTCCGGGCCTGGCTGCTCAGGGCCTGGCCTCTGTTGCTCTGGTTCGTTCCACAACCAGCTGCTCCGGGCCTGGCTGCACCCGACCTGCCTGCTCCCCCGGGCCTGGCCGCTCCCAGCCTGGCAGCCGCTGCTCCGGGCCTGGCCGCACCCGACCCGCCTGTGTAGCTCATAATTTAAAAGTGTTTTGGCCGAAACCAGTTTGGCTCAGTGAATAGAGCGTCGGCCTGCGGACTGAAAGTTCCTGGGTTCAATTCCGATCAAGGGCATGTACCTTGGTTGTGGGCACATCCCCAGTAGGGGATGTGCAAGAGGCAGCTGATCGATTATTCTCATCGATGTTTCTAACTCTATCCCTCTCTCTTCCACTCTGTAAAAAAATCAATAAAATATTTAAAAGAAATTTAAAAGTGTTTTGGAAAGGGGCGCTGTCCAAGGGTCATGGCAGCCATTACTAACCTGTCATTTTCTCGTCTTGTCTTTTTCTGTTTAGCAAGCCAAGGATGAAATCATGGACCTCAAAATCTTGAAAACTGAGTTTTTCCAAGACACAAAGGTATGTGCTTGGCTCATAGGAGTTCTGGGAGGAAATGTAAACCAGGGACATCTCGATCATTTGAGTCTTGTCCCTGGAGACCTTGTCCTCACTAACATACTCGTCTTCTTTGTAGCCTGAAGATCAGTGCTGCCTCCTTCGCCATATTCTGGAACTCTACCTGGACACAGTATTCAAAAACTATCCGACCCCTGACAATGATATCCTCCGGAAGATCAGCAGCCTTGCCAACTCTTTCCTTGCTATCAAGAAGGACCTCTCACTCTGTGTGAGTAAGGGTCTCGGGTAAAGGATTAATCTTGGCACATAGCTTTAATGACTTAGTAACCAAGCTCCTTTTTGACTCCCATTTAAAAGATGGAAACACTGAGTCCCAAAGTTCTATTAATAATAGTCTGTGTGGAGCCATGTGACTAGGTAATGAGAACACAGTTTTATGGACTTTTGGGTATATGCTCCATTTAAAAAGTCTAAAGATCTATAAAATGTTAGTTATTTGATGTTAATGACAATTATCTTTTATACATGAAATTAAGGTGAGGTATCTGGTGGTGTGTATACTAGTGCATCTGGGGTCCAGGCAGCTAGTCATTAGGCCATTGGCCTCAATATCAAGATAGAGCCTCAGTAGGACCTAGGAATCCAATTCTTTCTTTGCATGGGGACTCTCTGGGAGGGGGGCAGACTAGAGCTGAGTAGGGGCTACAGGCAGATGACACTGTGATCATAAATTCGTTCAATGTTACTTGTTTCTAAAAAGAAGCAGTGAGCTCTGTATTTGAGCCTAAAAAGCTGGTTTTCTGTTCTACTGATGACTAAGTAAATGATCTCAAATGATGAGGCCTGATAAGACTTGTCTACGAGAAAGGAGTGCCTATAGAAAGAGTAGAATTTTCACCTACTTAATGATAACCTGTTAACCAAGCGGGACCTATAAATACGTCAAACGTAAACAATATCGGGAATGGGTAGGACGTATGAATACGTCCTTGAAATATATGTTGTGCCCCAAGAGGGACGGTATATATTATTTATAATCTTTTTTTTTAATTTTTAATATTTTATTGATTTTTCACAGAGAGGAAGGAAAGGGGAGGGATAGAGAGTTAGAAATATCGATGAGATGAGAGAGAAACATCGATCAGCTGCCTCTTGCACACCCCCCACCGGGGATGTGCCGGCAACCAAGGTACATGCCCTTGACCGGAATCGAATCCGGGACCTTTAGGTCCGAAGGCCGACGCTCTATCCACTGAGCCAAACCAGTTTCGGCTATTTTTTGTAATCTTTATCATTGTTTGTAAAATTTATAATTTTTTAATTCGACGTGTCCTTTTTTTTTGTCGGCATTCTTTTCTATTTTTTTTTTGTAATTTTGTATTTTTCTTTGTGCTTTATATATATAAATAAACGAAAATATATATATATTTCATTTGTTTTCATTAAGTATAAATAAATAAAAATAATATGAAATTACGTCCTCCGGGTGTGACTTACTGACATGTCCTAGTGAAAGAGTACACGCCCGTTACAGGTTGTGTCATTAAAAAGTTAACCTGTTAACTCCCCAGTTAACAGGTTAATGGCAGATAATCATAATATTTATAAAAGCTATCATTCTTTGGCCTTCTTTTCAGCATGACCACATGACATGCCCTTATGGGGAGGAAGTACTGGAGAAATTCAACCAGATTCAGAGTCACTTCAAAGAGGTATATGCAATTTTGGCCTTGGTTGGGATGAGTGTGTTTTTAGAACTGAGATCATAAATGAGTGGGATGGGTATTCATACTGGGAGAAATCCTATAGCCCTCAGGTTAATAGCTCTCTAAGGTCATGTGGCCTGTCCCTCTGCTGTACCTCAGGGACACCCAAGTGGGCTTTAGGAGGGTGCTTTCTCTGAAACATGCCTTAAAAATGAAAAGGGAATGGCCTTTTAAAAACACATCTTCCAGGTGCACGAACAAGAGGCTATAACCATGTATTCACTCACACATGCCTTCAAAAACAGTCATGCACAATTTCACCAGTGCCCACCCCATGCTGTTTCTCACCTCATGCCTTTGCACATCTGCCAGGAAGGCCTGGATTCCATGCCTCACTGACTAATTCTATGCATCCTTTAGACTCAGCCTACACATCCCCTCCAAGGAGGTTCTGCTACCTCTCTGCTACCTGAGTTAAGTGCCGCTACTGTTGTCCTGTGTTGATTCCATCATTTATTCACTGCGCTACATTAAAAAAATATATATATATTTTTTATTGATTCCAGAGAGGAAGGGAATGATAGAAACATCAATGATGAGAGAGAATCATTGATCTGCTGCCTCCAGAAACAAATAGCCGAATGTGCCCTGACCGGGAATCGAACAGTGACCTTTTGGTTCATAGGTCGATGCTCAGCCACTGAGCCATGCCAGCTGGGCACCACACTACATTTTAACTGCCTGTTTCTGCTTGTCTCTCTCACTTGACTGTAAAGGCCCTGTGGGTAGGGGATGTACAATGCATCTCTGGATCCTGAGCCAGCCCAGTGCTTAGCACAATACATATTTGTTCAATTGAAGTAAGCAGAGTAAGCAACCCCTGTGTGCATCTGTGCGTACACACACACACACACACACACACACACACATGTCCCTTTAAAAAGCACAGCCTCATTACTTTGATCTCTGTGATGCAAGAGGCTTGGGCTATAGTCCTAATTCTGCTACCTCTCTGGGCCTTAGTTTCCTTATTTAAGACTAGGATGATGGACTCCATGTTCCTTCCTCTGGTGAGATCTTGAAGTTCCATAACCTCTTTCAAGCTCTTCCGGCTTGAAAATAATGCTCTGCTTGTGATCCCCAACACAACTGCCAATAAAAAAAGAGGATTAATTTTGGGGCGAATGCTGACTCGTTTTTATTTGCTCATTACCTAACTGTGTGTCTTTCAGCTTGAACTTCAGAAAGCAGTGGTGAAAGCTGTGGGAGAGATAGACATTATCCTGCAATGGATGGAGAAGGCGAGATAGGAGCAAAGTGATGATACCACTGACGGTACTTCTGGCCGAGTCCACTCCTGAGAATTGTGAAGACATGATCCCAAACCACCATCTCTTTGCTTCATCATTTAGTGCTGATCACTGTGTATATTTATTTAATATTTATTTCCTTATTGTGATTATTTTCATTTCTTAATCTACACCATGGGTTTATAAGATTTTGTTACTGTTGGATATATTTATTCTTTAATTAATTAATTAATTTCTGAGATTTAATCTATTTACTTTTGTACTTGTCTTTAAAAATTCATAGATAATATTTATGGCTAGGGCACATTATATGTTTTCAAACAGTGAACAAATTGTGACTTCTGGACAAATGGCTTGGGTGGGTAGTCACTTTTATTAAATTAAGGGCATATTTACTGACTGCCACAATGGTTTTGTAAATGGAAACAATGGTTACTAAGTGGGAGGTGGGGAAGAAGTTCCAATGGAAAATTATAGATCTGCCTCACAATTAATGACCACCCCCCAACACCCAACCCCATACTTGTGTATCTTCCAGCTGTGTAATCCTATATGGTAAAATTGTATTCCACGAATAAAGTTTCTTTTGCATAATATTTGGTTGGCGTTGAAAAATGCTTCAGGAACAGAAACAACGAGGATGAGCTTGAACTCATATTGCCTAAGGACCACTTAAGCCTTTGTGGAAGAAGAATGAAAGTGGGGGATCCAGGACTTCTCTCTCCTATGGAATACCTTACCAGCTCTTACTCTTAGTTCACTCACATCTCTGATCTCACGATTCTACCCTCCACGTAAAGTGGCTGTGACTGAGGGAGGGGCTTTAGCCATCCTTACTTTCACCTTATTGGCTTGAGCAATATCCTCTCTGTGCCTTAGTTTTCTTCCTCATTTCAGGTTCCACACGCTTGAGTCAGAGATCTTGATTATCCCACAAATTACAATGGGCACAAGTTTCTATTTTAGGTTAAGAGCACACACATGCAGAGGACAGAGACTGAGCCTTGCTCAGGAAAGTGCATGAGCCCTCTTTTGAGGCTGTTCCTTTTTGGGTTCTGTCCACCCCAGGATCTAGATTATTCCCAGATCAAGTATTTGTCTTCAGTGACCAACTAGTAAATCAGTGTTCTCTTTCCAGGCCTCTTTCAGGTTGACCTTCCCTGAGCTGTAAGAAGCCAGAAGCCTGGCCTGGGCTGCTTGCATCCTTTCTCCCCACCTTATTCTGAAAGGAACTGGAAGTTTAGCAGTTTAGTTTTTCCAATTTCAGAAACAGCAGACTAATGCTGATGCCCTGGCTCCTAAAGAGAGCTTGGCTACCTACGTCTGGTTTCTGCTCCAAGCCCTCAGCCTGAGACCTGGTTTGTTTAAATTACTTCACTAGTTTTTTGTGTGTTTTTTTTCTCATTATACAATTAGCAACTACCCAATACAGAAAATTTGAAAAATACAGAGAAATATAAAGAAGAAAAAAGAATCATCCATGAGTCTACTGTACATAGGTAGTACTCAACCACTTTAGCGTATTCTCTCTCTCTTTTTTTTTAATGTCTTTATTGACTTCAGAGATAGGAAGGAAGAGGGAGAAAGAGCTAGAACCATCAGTGATGAGAAAGAATCATCGACCGGCTACCTCCTTCACACTCCTACTGTGGATTAGGCCAGCAACCTGGACATATACCCTTACTGGGAATTGAACCGTGACCTCCTGGTTCATAGGTCGATGCTCAACCACTAAGCCACAGCATCTGGGCAAGAGAAAGTCTTTTATGCTCCTCTGAAAACAAGGCATCTTCTGCTTTCATGCTCCCCATTTACAATCACCCATTTTTTGTGAGATTTTACCTATCACCCTTCTATCAGATTTCCTAGTCACATGTCTCTTGGTTTTCTCTGACTAGTCTGACAAAAACTTAGTTACAACTCTCAAGAAAGAGTGGAGAAGTCAAGTTCACTGAAGTCAGTGTTAACATTAGACACACCACCTCTAAGAGACATTGGATGGCAAGGAGGAGGCTGGTTTTACCTGCCAATGGAGTGAGTCTTCCAGATGGGTGTGTCTGAGGTTGGCTCCCAGAGGTGAGGACAAAGCTCCTTTATTTGTCTTCCTGGGCCTTGCCAACTGGAGGCAGCAGAACAAACGGTGAGAGAATGACTCCGCTATTTCACTGAAAGGTTGGGAGGAGAAAAGGTGACACTCTCTGTTCAGCTCAATTGTCAGGAGCACAGTGAGTCAGGCCTTAACTGGAAGAGGCGGGACAGGCAGGAAGCTGTGGATTATAACGGGGAGCGCGAACTCCTCTCAGGGGGCGTTGCTTTACTACACGTTAGAAACTAGGGGAGGAACATTCAGATTGCTTTACAGTAACTCGGGTTCAGAGCTAACTAGAAGCGGAGCATCCTGTGTGATTGCTTGGAGTGCACATTTGGCTGTCTCCTGTTCATGCTAAGCTGGAAGTGGGGACAAAAATCAGGGAAGCTGTGAGTGGGTAATCAAGTTCTGGCCATTTGGGGCCTGGTTGCTACAGAAGTTGTGATTTGGCTTTCCAGGCTGGTTGCTGCAGACTGTGGATTAGAGTTCTCTTTTTACATATGGACTGGCCGTGGTCTGTTTGCACATTCAGAGAGGTTGTAAGCCAAAGCTTACATAGTGAGTGATGGCAGAGTTGGCACAGAAACTCAGGCTCCTATACCTCCAGGACATTAAACCTCAAGTCAGTGCAAGGAGAAACACAAGTCATCCTGATTGGAAATGAGGAAGTAAAACTACCTTTATTCACAGATGACATGCTCACCTGATGGAATTTACAAAAAACTACTAGAATTACCAAGGAAGCTCCATTTGTTAGTAGAATATAAGCTTGAGATACACAGACCAATTGTAATTCCATTTACCACAAATTGGACATTAAAAAAAAAAAAGACTATAATAGCATCAAAAATTTTACATACTTGGACATAAATTAGAGACAAAAGATGTGAAAGTAGAAACTGTAAACTGTTGTTGGGAGCAATGAAAGATGATGGAATAACGAAGAGCTTTACTGCCATATTCATGGATTGGAAGTCTCAGTATTACCAAGATGTCAGTTCTCTCTAAACTGATCTATAAATTCCATGCAATCACAACCAAAACTTCAGCAACTTTATTAAGGTAGAAATGGACAAATTCACTTTAAAACTCATATGAAAATACAACAGATCTAAAGTAGTCAAAATAACTTTGACAAAGAACCAAATTGGAAGATTAATATTTTATTTTTAAGATTTATATAAGACCATGGCAATCAAGAAAGTGAGGTATTGGTGTAAAAATAGATCAATCAGTGGAACATAACTAAGTCCAGAAAAAGAACCACACATGCCTGGGCAGGAGTCGGAGAGAAACTTCGGTGTGAGAGAGACACATCAATTAGTTGCCTCCCACAAGATTGAGTCTGCAACCCAAGTACAAGCGCTTGACAGAAATCAAGTCTGGGACTGTTCAGTCCGCATTCTGTCCACTGAGGCAAACAGCTAGGGCTCCTTCTCCTCCTTGAGGCATCTGGTCTCAGTGGGATCCATCCAGTGTTCCTGGGCGGAAGGGGGTGAAGGTGGCTGCTACTGGGCTCCAGGGTGCTGGAAAAGTGGCTGCTGGGGAGCCATCCTTGGCTCCCAAGCAGGTAGAGGCTGCCAGACCCCTCATGGATGCTGCCCATAAAAAGGAAAATGCGGGTCTTCATATATGAGTGCCCTGGGGTCCCCCAGATGAGTGTCTATGCCACCAGCTTCTGCCTGGAAGGGCTGTTGGGGAACAGGAAATGCACCCATAGCTGAAGAATGGTGGAAATTGCTGGAAGGTTCTCCTAGTGCGTTGGCTGGAATCTCCAGGTTGGGAGAGACCACATTGGCGCCCAGCACACCCCCGTGCCCCCAGTGGCCTGCTGGCCCAGATGCACGCTCCGCCCCCCAGGAGAAGTGGTCCGCATTGCTCTGTAGAGCTCTGCCGGAGCCATATTGGGGGGAAAGGCCCTGGAGGCCACGGTGGTGTTTGGGGGCAGGGAATGCGCCCTGGTGGGATCCGGGAGCCGCAGTATCTGCATCTGGACGGGGCCTCTTTTGGGAGTTCTTTGATCGTCTGCCTCTCCGGTTCTGAAACCATACCTGGATTCTGGACTGAGGAATCTGGGTTTTCTTGGCTAGTTCTTTTTGGGCCGTGACATCAGGGTATTCATCCTTCTCAAAGGCCTTGATGAGAACCTGCAGTTGGCTTTCGCTGAACTTGGTCCTCTTGCGCCGCCCGCTTCCTCCGGGCCTGTTGGAGGCCATGTCTGTTGGCACCTACACACCAGCAAGGAGGCAGGCAGGAGCTGTTTTCCAGCGGGAGTCTGCATCCCTTTAAATACTGTTGGAACTAATGGGGAGAGTGTAAAGAAGATTATGTAAAAGCAGGAGGAAGTAAGGCGGGAAAGTCTTTAGAATGGCTTACAAAATAGCTAAAATTACGTGCTCACTTGAGGGTTAATCTGATGAGGGGTCTAAAAAAAAGAGGCATTTCAAAGGGTTAATCTGATGAGGGGTCTAAAAAAAGGCATTTCAAAGGTGTGTTAATCCATGGGCACAGACAATAGGATGTTAAAGGCCTGGGGTGGGGCAGGCTAGAAGGGTTCACTGAGGGAAAAGGGGGACTCTGTAATACTTTCAACAATAAAGATTTAATAATATAAAACAACAACAACAACAACAAAAAAGAAAACCTGAGCAAAAACATTTGTGACTTTGAATTAGCCAAATTTTTCTGAGATATGACACCAAAAGCAGAGGCTGTAGGAGAAATAAATGGATTATTTGAACTTCATTCAAGTGGAACTCTTCCTCTCTTCAAAAGACGGGCCATCATCTGGGTGTATTTGTAAATCCTGTATAGGATAAGGAATTAGAGTCCAGAAAATATAACGAATACTCAAAACTCAATTATGTTCCACCTCCTAACATAGTGATTTATTTATTTATTTATTTTAATATATTTTATTGATTTTTTTTTTACAGAGAGGAAGGGAGAGAGATAAAAGAGTCAGAAACATCAATCAGCTGCCTCCTGCAGACCCCCTTCTGGGGATGTGCCCGCAACCAGAGTACATGCCCTTGACAGGAATTGAACCTGGGACCTTTCAGTCCGCAGGCTGACTGAGCCAAACCAGTCTTAGCCTTACAAAGTGATTTAGAGCTGCTTGTAAAGATACACGCAGACTTCCTGTAATGAAGTCATGGTAATTGGCTTTGTTAGAGTAGACACTTCCTTTTGTGGGTGGTGGCGGACACAGGAAGGACGCCATGAAGGCCTTGGAAACGCTTTGAGAGTACAAAGTGGTGGGGCGCTGCCTGCCCACTCCCAAGTGCCACACACCACCCCTCTACCGCATATTTTGCACCTACCCATGTATAATAGTTGGCAAGTCCCACTTCTGGGACTTTGTGTCTCAACTAAAGATGAAGAAATCTTCGGGGGAAATCGTCTTCTGTGGGCAGGTGTTTGAAGAATTCCCCCTTTTGGGTAAAGAATTTGGGCATCTGGCTGCACTACGACTCCCGCAGAAGCACCCACAACATGTACCGAGAGTATTGGGACCTGACCACCACCCAGTGCTACTGAGATGTGGGGGCCTGGCACTGTGTCCGAGCCCACTCCATCCAGACCATGAAGGTTGAGGAGATTGCAGCCAGTAAGTGCCGCTAACCAGCAGTCAAGCAGTTCCATGACTCCAAGATCAAGTTCCCGTTGCCTCACTGGGTCCTTTGTCGCCAGCACAATCCACGCTTCACCACCAAGAGGCCCAACACCTTCTTTTAGATGCAGGGTTGGTCTGCTCAAATAAACTCTTTGAGGGGGGGAAAGATACATGCAATACAACAAGATATAAGGAAACTAGGGGAAACCCTTGGAACACAGACAATACCATGAAGTTGAACTAAGATTGTTTCACAAAGGACAGGTGATAAGGTTCTGAATCACAAGTTGTTAGAAGGATTAATATTTGGCTCTGAGCTTTTTGGAGTCTGGAACAAAGAGGATAACTACGGAATTCACTGAGCATGTCATCTAGGTAGTCTCACTCAGACTTTACAGACCTGTGTGGTAGATCTGTCTTTCCTTCCAATGATAGAGTCAAGTGATTTTTCCTCAGCTGCTGGGGAGCTGGTGAATGTGCAGAAGCATTTTCCACTTCACTTGTTTGCATGAAGGATTTTTTTTTTCCTTTAATTGATTTCAGGGAGGAAAGGAGAGGGAGAGAGAGAGATAGAAACATCAATAATGTGAGAGAATCTTTGATAGGCTGTTTTCTGCATACCCCCTACTGGGGATTGAGCCTGCAACCTGAGCATGTGCCCTGACTGGGAATCGAACCGTGACCTCCTAGTTCATAGGCCGACGCCCAACTGCTGAGACACAACGACTGGCTGAAGGAAGCTTTTAAACGAAAGTTTTCATTGAGAAGACGTCAAGAAAAGTTGGGGGAGAAAATCAGAAAATATGAAAAAACACCCATACCTGTTTGAAGATATTGGAGAGATAACAAGACAAGCATAATTACAGGACCGAGATATGGGAGGCGGAATTCAGAGAAGTGAGCCCAGCGTGGGGGACAGCTTTTCCCTGAGGGAAGTTATCTAAATTCAGAGAAAAGTTGATAAAAGGTTGGGTGTTTGAGAAGATGTGCAGAACTTTCCACAGATGTACAGAATCAGGGCAACAACAATCAGTGTTCAGAGCCTGCTGAAGGAGGTGCTAGTAACCTCCCAGACAAGCTTCTGATTGAAATTCCAAAGTGCTACACCCTGGCAGTCATGGTTATCTCTGAATATAACGGCCCCAATTGTGTGCCTGATCCCCAGTTGGGGGCGTGCAGGAGGTAGCCGATTAATGATTCTCATCACTGATGTTTTGCTCTCTCTCCCCCTCTCCGTTCCTCTCTGAAATCAATAAAAACATACTTTAAAAAATTGTGGAAGTACTTTGTAAAGTACTACACAACACTCTGGCTTTTGGACTTAGAGCTGAGAGCTACCCTTAAGCCCCCAACCCTCATGACATGTGGATTCTGGTCTCATGCTACCGGAAGCTGCCCCAAACCAGTCACTATTGGAGGCACTTGGACACCCTGGGGCCAAGAATTGCTCTGAGTGTAAACCTGGAAAGATATTTCACTGAACTCTGTAATCCTTTGGGACCAAACATAAAGTGAGAATATATGACTTTGGAACATCTTTTGGCTGCAGCAAGTTGGCACCAAGACCTGGTGAGGAGAGTCCCATTCTCACCATCACTGGGCAGCTGTTGGACCTTGCAGCAGCTGGCGAGCCAGCCCTGAAGGATAAGGATGGCTCACAGACACACCTATGAAGGCACTCTGTTGGGAATTCTCAAAACACCCAAGGGAGTGAACTCTTCAATAGCCTGCTCTATTTACATGAGCAGATGGGGCTTCAGAATTTTGAGATTTATTTATTTATTTATTGTTTACAGAGAGGAAGGGAGAGGAATAGAGAGTCAGAAACATTGATGAGAGAGAAACATCCATCAGCTGCCTTCTGCACACCTCCCCCTGGGGATGTGCCCTCAACCAAGGTACATGCCCTTGACTGGAATTGAACCCGGGACCATCGAGTCCGCAGGCCGACACTCTATCCACTGAGCCAAACCGGTTTTAGCAAGAATTTTGAGATTTTTAATTTGTAATTACAGCCTACTACAATCTGGACATTGAGGCCATAGTATTCCATATTATTATTATTATTATTTGATTTTGGGAAAGCAGAATTTACCAGGATTAAGCAATTCGATCTACTAAGAAATGGGACCATCTCTCTGGCCTGGGAAAAAGGCTTTCCCAGGAATTAAACACTCCACAACAAGAAATGCCTTCTCTTTAGCTTCATGAGCAACATCCAAGAGGATACTTTTTGGAAGCTAAAGGCAGAGTCTTTGAAGAGAGCCCTGCCCACTGTGGCTGGAAGCACCATCTACTCTTCATCAGTCCTTTGACTTTTGAAGATTCCCTGGATTTGATCATTTACTTGTGTGCAAAGCCTGGAGATGAGGAGAGAAAAAAAAAAAAAAAAAAAGGTTAGTTGGTTAGGAAAGCCTTATCGGATCAAAATCTCTAGTTTCTCCAGCTATCAGGCCTTAGCCTGACCTTCTTTGCCAGTTTTAAGATCCATACTAAGTAAGTATGTGTGGTGGAGTGTGTGTGTGTGTGTGTGTGTATGTGGTTGTTGGCTTATTCAAAACATTTTATTGGCATCTGCTAGGAGAAGGGTCCTTCCCATTTCCCCTTCCAAGAGCACAGACTCTCTCTGGTAGGTAGGGTGTCAGACTCCCATCCATCCTCCGTCTGGAGCTGTTGTCCCCATGTGTGACTCCCGAGTGACTGTGCTCCAGTTGCTGGATCTCAAAGTGGTCGGCCTCATGCCATAACCTGACCTCATCCTGCTGAATCATTAGTATTCATTATTTACATTGTGTTCAAGGAGAAAGCAGTGCTTTCCATCAAAGAAGGATTCTGGGAATCTGTGATTACAACGAGTTGCCTAAATAGCATATTGAATCACACTTTTGCCTATAGCACAGTCTGAATTCATTATCTGAGGTTGGAAAGGGATTTTATAGGGCTTTAAATCTCTCTCCCCACAACATTCCTTACGTATTAGTCAGGTTGGACTAAGTTATGCTGCAGTAACAAACAATATCTAGATCTCTTTCAGTGGCTGATTACAAGAGAAGTTATTTCTCACTTATTTTACTTGTCCAGTACATGTTAGCATGGGGGCTCTGCTCATCTTGGTTACTCAGAAACCCAGATTGATGGAAATCATTCCACCTATAATGCTGCCACCTCAACACCAATAGGCTATGACAGCATGGCTTAAATTCTTCCACCTGCAATGATACATGTTTCTTCCATTTAGATTTAACTGGTCAGAATGGCCACATGGCCATGCCTAACTTCATTGAGGGCAAGGAAATACAGTTTCCCTGTGTCCCATGAAGAGGAAATATGAGGAACAGTTGGGATATCTACCATATTTTCAAGGGGAAAATCCAACCTAGAATACTTTCAGTTTCTTTGTTCTTTCAGGACCTTACTCAGAGAGACAGAACAGATCAAAATCTGCTACTGAATCAAAATCACTGATGCAAGATTGATTCAGTAAGAAAGAGGAGGAGGAGGAGGAGGAGGAGGAGGAGGAGGAGGAGGAGGAGGAGGAGGAGAAGAAGAAGAAGAAGAAGAAGAAGAAGAAGAAGAAGAAGAAGAAGAAGAAGAAGAAGG